ACGTGTTTTTCAAAAATATAATATTCGTTAATGCCATTATTTTTATTAATATATTTTGTTTTATTAATAAATTTTAATGCGGCTGTATACTGATTCGAAGAATTCTCCAACGCTTCAGAAAAACAGAATTTCGCTCCATGAAGGAGAATCAAATTCGGCTTACAGTTGAGAAAAATATAAAACGTATACAACTGTTTTTAGGATCTGTAAAAGGACAGCATCTCTAACAATTGAAATGAAATAAGAAACATGATTCGACTGGTCCGAAATGTTCTAATTTCAACGGAGCAGGATGAGGATCCAGAAGGCGATGGATACAGTTCGATGATAAGAACATTTCTAAAGTTAGAGAGAGTTCTGTTTACATATTTGATAGGAGATGTTTTCAAATACTTATATGGACTTAATTTCAGACGTAGCACTCATATTAGAAATTAAATAATTATTTGAAAAAATGGAGTTTCTATTTTTAGTCTCTAAAACCAACTGAAAAGCGGGCTTTTTTTTTGGTGAAAGTTCTCCACAGGTCAGAAATATATATTATGGCCGCTCGAGCGATTGCATAGGGCAGGTCCAATGCGTCTTTTTATTTTGTTTTCAGGGTTATTCAAGAAGTTTTCAAACAATGAGGGCAATGTCGCCAGGCAGAAATGACCCAATCTTCTTTAGCGAAGTAACATAATTGAAGTCCTTAGCGGGGGTTTTCCCAAGCTGTATTAGCTGCAGGAAGTCCACTGCCTCCTCCACCGCTTTCACCGCCGGTTTCGTCACAGCGCCTCTTCCGGTCTTTTCAATGGGGTCACGTAATTTGGTTGTAACAGCTCAGGAAGTATTTACTATTACTAATTAATAACTATCATTACTTGTAACACCTGATGGCTGAACATATGTTGTAAAAACTACATCATTTCATATCTACAGTTTTCACGATGCTTTTAAAATTCGATTTATTATACAACTCTATGAGGTTTATACAAATATGTTTGCCTATAATTGAGATAATATAATTTACAGTAAAGGTATAATATAATCGTTTGGACAGAGCCGCATTAATTAATCAATGCTAGCAAACGGCTAGTTTGATTTTTATGAAATACCGTGATAATTTGATATGATATCGGCTCAAAATACGAACAAATCATTGCACAAAATGTATTTTTAAGCAATATCAAATTTTTATTCGCTTCATAACGTGATTATGTGCATTGAATGTAAATTTTCATAACTTGAAAAACTAAAAAGATTTAAAAAAAAAACTAAGGTGTGTGCTTTAGACCACACGATAGATGTGAAAACATCAAAAAGGTGAGATTAATAATATGAAATATAAATTATAAATAATAGCTCATTATAAATAGGAAGAAATGCTGAACATTTCCTTCGTTTACCATATACAGGTCCGATATTTAATAACTTGCAATCATTTGGCTTCCGACACAATATTTCGCCTCTCTAACACGGCGTTGTGTTAAGATACTATTTTGAATAATAGCACAATATAAAGATGATGAAATGATTAATATTTCCCTTGTTAACAATATGCAGCTCCGATTTTTAGTTTTAGAGATATTTTAATCCACATACAAAAACGTTTTAAATTAGTCGACTCCAGCTGACAGAGCGTTACACATCGGAGATCTGATGGCACAATCTCATTCATTCTCCACAAAAAAAAAGTGATAAATATGCCTAAAGAAGTTTTACCTTCAAAAATATCAAATAAATCACAAAATCCTATCCATACTTGAGGAATGAAAAGAAAATGACTTTTACGAATATTTAAACTTAAAATTAGTTGGGTGCCTCCCAGAACATTATGGCTTCAGCTAAGTAAATTTCGTGCCATGTATGTTAAGATCCGAGTCATAAGTTTCGTTCAGAAATGGAAGGCAGCTGATTACAACACCAAGTTTAAATATACGTAGAATTAATCCTCCTTTGGAATTGAACTTCTTTGTGTTTAAGAAAATATGCAAGTACATTTACACTGGATGAGATTTTATAATTCAAATTTACGAATTAGGAGAATGATAACATATTTGAATATAGTTCATTTATGTATAAATAATTATAAAAAGTTTCTAGAATGATTTTATGTTACATTTAACTATTATAGGGAGCGGGGTAGCTCAGTGGTAGGGCACTGAGCTTCCAATGCAAAGGTCCCGGGTTCGAACCCTCGGCTCATGGCAGAAAATATATTTATCTGTTTCATTGGCCGTGGGGCGACCTTGGGTCAGAAGTCCCTCCTGGGGCACACCCAGCCTCTATAAAGTGGGTATCCTTAATTAAATAATTAATTAAGGGGGAAAACCTGGCGGTTGAGCGTGATCTCGGTCAAATCACCTCCTTGCACAGCCGTTGACCTAGAAACAGTACTTTCCCTAAATAGTACTGAACCCCAGACCCTTTATGGGTTGTAGTGGTACAGGTTTTTTTTTTTTTTTTTTAACTATTATATACTTCTTCCATTGATTATAAATTAAAAGTATTTATTTTCAATTCAAATGTTATTGTAATAAATTATATATTGCAAACAATAGTTCTACTAACGAATTTGTACATAATGATAACTGATAAAATTGTAAATTATTAGAAATATTATTAATTATTGAAATTATATATCTTGTATATATTTAAAAATGATGTCATGTAAATTTCCTCTTTTAAGTAATGAATGTTATTTTATTTAAGAAAATTAAAGGAACAAATTTATAAATTTAAGGAAATATTTATTTACATCATGATAATTTATCATATACTATACAATTATAAATATCTAAATTTTTATTCGATATTGAATAGTTGACCGTTGCATTATAAACGAAGGAGATGGTTCGGGTTGGCGGTCATAAATAGGCTACATAGTGGCAAAAATATTTTATTGAAAGCCAAAAGGCTTTTAATAAAATACTTTATATTTAATAATAATATTTTATAGCCACCCAAGACCATCCCCTTCCTTTCTAAATTTTGATTTATGGAATCATTTTATTTCAATATTATTTACAGAAATAATGTATTATTGAATATTACTATTAGGATTTTAATGATAGTTTTAGGTAATGTTATACTATTAAGTATTATTGTAAGCAAAAATGTAACTTCCCATCGTATGGAACCAATACTCCATATACCCAGACTTTCCTTTAGAATACTAAAGAAGACCAAAGACATATTCTAACTGACATACTTAAACATTGCACTCAGAGGCTTCGTGCTTAAGGGGGAGAGTAGTTATGGAACGGACTTAATCCGTAACAAATAATAATAATAATAATAGTATCAATTTAATTTAATAATTGAGTTTGTTAAATATGACAATTGGTGAATCATGTATTGTATTGACAACTCTCATAACTCAAAGGATCAAAGGACAAAGCTATCCCTAGATAACTAGTATTAGCTATCTCTGATAGCTTAGAAATAGTTATCTAGAAGGCACCGACTGGACACTACAAGGCCCATTATCAAAACTTAGAGAACAATAACAGATTTTAGCAAAAGGTCTCTTTCTCACAGACCTCATCTTAAGAATATTAATTATCGATAACTTCCTTTGGAGTCCTCTTCCGACTTCCCTTCACCCCTTGCTATTCTTGAGTATATAAACCCCATGATCCACTGGACTAATCACTTTTGCAGTTACATTCTTGAAGTCATACTCTTACCAGGAGACCTGGAGTGAACTCTTGTAGTTAAGATACCATTTGTAACAGACATTATGAATAAAAAGATTACTTATAAAGCCTTCACAGCCTCCGATTCGTTAACTCTACGAATTTCCTGTATCATTAAAATAATTCAGAATCTTCTAAAATGTAACTATCAATGTGCAGTTTCTCTGATAGCTTAGAAACAATGCATGAATAATGTAATGTAATCAGTGACAAACAACATTATTGTAATCAGTAACAGTTCATGAATAGTTTAATGTAATCAGTAATAGCTCTTGTCAGATCAATGTATCATCTCAATATATTTATTCCTTATCATAATACGAATTATTAGATAAAAGTTTTATATTGTCAATAGCTGATCAAATTTTATTTTTATGATTTTTTGAAAATTAAATTTATGTATTTATCTCACCTGTATCATATGACAGTCATTGGTATATTCAGTTATTATTATATACCATTACAAAATTATGATTTTCTAAGATAATCCATTTTCCACTTTTTCTGGACTAATCCAGCTTTTATTATATTCATTACTCTTTATCATCCTATAATAAAACTTTGATATCGAACAAAACTTTGATTTTTTAGAAACTTGCCTTACCAAATAGAGAATGAGAAAGTTATAGATTGTCGTTTTGCAATGGGAAAGTATTTTTATAATACAATTCTCTTGTACTGCTGGGCAATTTCTTAATTTCTATAAGATTGTTTTCGGTAGTTATACCAAAAACGCAGAAACATGTCTTGCCTTCAAAAATGATTTTATCGAAAATTCTTATTGTTTTAAGTTATTACTTTAAATAATTTTATTACATATTCTGGTGTTAATGACAATAAAAATACATAATATGGCCTCTTATTATGGTGTATTATCATTAATAAATATGAATTCTAAATTTAAGACTAAATTCCGACTTCGATATTACCATTGTTTTCATTACTATATGTTGTGCTTAGTTTCGTTTATTATTTATAAATGTAAAAGCTTAAAAGAGACAAGTTTAACGTTCAGAGAAAGTTTGACAGTGGCATTTCTGACAATTTTTTTTAACGTTGTAAAGTTCTAATATAACAAAAAAAAATTAAATATACCAAATTTATACTCAACTCATTTTTATGTACTTAACCCCTTTGTGCATTGAAAGATGTTAGGGTTTTAATTGGAAATCATAACATTTATGAAATATTTAAAGACCAAAATGTGTAGTTTTTATTTCATACAATCTTTTTTACAATTTTAAGATTTTTATTTCCTTATAAAATATATTGGAAATTACATTATTTATATTTATTCTTATAATAAATCAAAGATGGCTAGAGAAATTACATTATTTTTTTCATGTTCATTTATATTATTTTTCTAAATGCATCTATCTTCATAATTAAAATACTTATTTATCCCTAAGCTCGAAAGTTTTCCTGGCTTCGGCTTTCATTTAGTTACTTTGAAGGATTATTTTACATCTATTTTATATGTAAAAAAAAAATAAGGATTATTTCTGAAGGATTTTGAATGTGTAGCAAGTTCTATTGTCTCTTACCAACGAAACATACCTGTCTGTTGTCACTTCAGAATATATTTTTTTGTACTGAAAATTGCCAAATTCGTCTTAGTTTGTTTGTTATGTGATAGATATGAGGAATTCCTTTTATGTGCAGATACTAGATCTAAAAAAAAATCTGTGTTTGTACCGCAATTGCAAATGGTTGTTTGCTGCCGAGAGAAAGGAATGGGAGTATTTGAAAAATTTGAAAAAGAAAACTTAATTGTAACAAATACATTTATTTCTCATGATTTAATAACTTACATATACAGACAGAAATACAATAGTAAAGTCATGGGATAATGGTGAACGTGAAAATTATGTAATACATATTTTAATGTGTTTTTAACAATAATGATTTTCCTCATTAGTTTTAAGAAATAAAAAAGTACTAACATAAATTGATTAACACAATTTTTTTAACATACTTTTACGCTGAAATATTTAAATGATTATCTTTATACAATATAATTTATTAAAATTATTTATTTGTTAATAAAAATTAAATTAAAATTTTTTTTTACATCACTAAAAGGGAAAAATAATTAGTTTTACTCCTAATTTAGCTGGTAGTCTGTAATCCATCCCATCGGACAATAATATAATTATTTTTCAACTCTCCCTTTGATCTTTCTTTTACATTTTTTTTTCAGGTAAGGATAATACTTTTACTGTTGTAACGATTTTATATTATTAGAACAGTAAAGGGATAGATTAGCTTTAGATAAAAAAAAAATGCAATAATGATTGTGATAACAAAGGATTTGATAGTAGTAATAAATTAAAGAAATAGAAATAATTACTTCGAATTTTCACTGTACAACTTACTAATCTAACATTGAAATCATATTCACTAGAGGGATTTGTCCAACTTATAGTTTTTTGATATTACTATGGCATATCTATACTTATTTCAAGTGACTAAAAAATATAAACTATTTTCTTCCTTGTGGGTAAAGAAAGAACATTTTCCAGGTACCTTTATTTTATCAGAGTACCAACTATAATTATATAAAAAGGTATTAATCCATAAAAAATGTTTCGTCTTCTCACTGAAGTGGTAACAATAAGAAGGTAACTGATTTTGAAAAATGACGATTGCTAAGGGTGGCGAAAATACAAATATACTTACAAAGACAAACATATGTCAAATTTAATATAGTTCCCAGAACGGAACCAAGTTTATAAAATGAAAAAGGATCTGCAATCCTATTGGCCGGCGTATTGCTTCAACATCTTGCTCCACTCCTTGGGATAGTTCCGCTGGATGTGCGAAAGGACCTGCTGGATCTGTCGAACTTCTTGTGGGCTGCATTTCGGGCAAGTTCCACGTAGGACCAATGGGGCGTAAGCTGAAATAAAGGTAAACATTATTGAAAACAGCACAAATATTAATAATTATATTTTAAAATCATATGTACAATTATACGGAGTGTCACCTAAGTAAAGGGTAATATTTATAGAAGTGATAGCAGATCTCAAGAGCTACAAAAAAGTTTATATAAATAATGGGCTAGTGTCCAGCAAGAAAGTAGGAAGAAGTTTTGTAATTTTTTAAGTTAATCACGTTTTTTAAAATTATTTTTAAATATTTTTGTTCAATAGGAAGTGAGAAGTAAAAATCTACTTAATTTAAGTAACTAACTCGATATTGTATATATTTTTAGAGTGATACCAGTGGATTAGGTTAGGCCACGAGTTGTAAAAGTTTCTTTTCATGCATTGCATTAATTACTATATTCTATCGTACAATTGTATTTGTTTCAAAAGTTTTTTAATATTTTCTATTGAATTTACTAAGTCTTTTAATGCTGGTTCTCTACAACGGGGTATTACAAAGGCATGATGTAGTAAATAGGGAGTGGGGTAGCTCAGTGGTAGGGTACTGAGTTTCCAATGCTAAAGGTCCCAGGTTCGAATCCCGGCTCATGGCAGACAATTTATTTGTCTCTTTCATTGGCCGCGGGGCGACCCTGGGTTGGGAGATCCTCCTGGGGCACACCTAACCTCTATAAAGTGGGTATCCTTAATTAAATAATTGATTAAGGGGGAAAACCTGTCGATTGAGCGTGATCTCGGTCAAATCATCTCCTTGCACAACCGTTGACCTAGAAACAGTGCTTTTCCTAAATAGTACTAAACCCCAGACCCTTCATGGGTTGCAGTGGTAGTGGTACAGGTTTTTTTTTTTTTTTTTTTTTTTTTTTTTATGATGTGCTAATGTTCAATCTTCTATTATATGCTTTATGGTTAGTGGGAACTGACAGCTATCGCATTATGGTTGGCTCTCTTTTGTAATTAAATGAACATGAGATCAGGTTAGTATGACCAATTCTCATCCTTGTCACAACCACTTCTTCTCTCCTGTTTCCTCTTCCAGCACTTACCCACTGTTTTGTACTTTTTTTAATATTTCTAAGTTTATTAGTCAGTGGAATTTAATTCCACATGGACTCCCAATTTGTTGGTACTCTCTCTTTTAGCAATGTGTTGCATGATCAGCTTCTTTTGCAGCTTTATCCGCTGCCTCATTTCCTGGTATCCCGGAGTGTCCTAGAGTCCAGAAAAAAATTATACTTTTACTAAGATTGTTTATAATTTCGATATATTTTTGGTTTTTGTTTATTGTAGGTGCGGTTCAATTGTAGTTTTCTATACTCTGAAGGACGAAGATTGAATCAGAACATATTACTATTTACTAGTTTTCTGTATTTATTGACAAATGTAATGCTTCAGAAATAGCCTGCAATTCTGCAGTATATATTGTTGAGGTTGGGGGTAATTTATACTTATTGGGTATCCCATTTATAATTATAGTGGGTAGTTTCATGTTTCATTCTCAAGAGGTGGTTTCATGTTATTATATTCTCGAGTTCACATTTACTGAATGTATTTTTATTTCTAATACATTTGTAATATCATAAATGAAAAAAAATATATTAGTGAATTGTATTTTCTGATCATTATTATTTATATATAACCCTATCACTCAGTGAGTGATAATATTTTTAATAGAATCAACAAACATAAAAATTTGTTATCTATAAATCAGGCATGAGTTTTAAATCAAATGTATAATTATTTCGTGATTCTTTTGAGAAAAAAAATTATCTATTTCAAATCCTGGAGAAAAGAGTTGAGGAGAACAAATAGATCTACGACTTATACAACGATTTCCGAACTTCGCATTTCGTGCAAATTCAGCCCTTCAAATTGCTGGAACATGTAATCAGGATCGTAGAGAAGCCAGGAAATCATGTTATGGAATCCCGGATGGAGTCAGGAAGCGTGCAAGAACGATTGAAAACTGGAAAGACTCTGGCTGAGGACTTGAGGATGGTTGTAGTGTCCAGCAGACTCGCTGTTGACCTCAATAACCGGTAAATGGCAGTTGAAATGACCAAGAGTAGGTCCAGGCGAATGACAAGACGATAAATAAATACAAATAATAGAGAGTTATCTTATATATGATGATTATTTTTTAGTATTACCTTACGTACCCGCTTTTAGGGTACAGAGTAACTCAATGGGTAAGACACTGACTTCGTAATCTGAAGTTTCCCTTTACTAATCAGGCTGAGAGCTGGTAATTAAATTAAAAAATATTCTGTTTAATCGGCCGTGGATCGATCTTGGGGTGGAGGGACCTTTTTGGGTGAAAATAATGATTTAAAAAGATATTAGAATCAAATATTTTTACATTATACAATTAATTAATGCAATAATAAAATCTTTAAAACCATTCTTAAGAACATTGTAATAATTTAAAAAGTTGATAATATGAAGTGCAACTATCGGTAGGTCGATTTTATCGAAAACGTTTGTGTAACATCCTCAAAGGAGTTCAACTATTCGCAAACTCAAATCCTAATTTTTTGATGATCACAATCCCTTCGCTTTATATATATTTTAGACCGTTAATTGTAATGAATGTAAAAATTAAATTCGTGTTTTCCTAATCGATTATGTACAATCTAATGTCATACGATACAGGTCACTTATCGTACTAAATAACCACTTTTTTTGTTTCTAATTGCATATGTACAAGGGATTCATTGAAGCCTCGTGTCATATTTAGGTTTTATGAGATTTTTTTTTGTCCTGAATAGTATAAATAAATTATTAATGACAAAACATATTCGAATTGTGGATTTTGAGTTGTTTATCATGGTAATCAGGTTTCTTTTTTCGGGGAAAGATTGCCATTCCAAGTATTGTATACTCGTATCATCTGTTTAGCATACGTTACTCGAGAACAAAGAGACGTAGTTTGGCTAACTAACGCTTTCCAACAACGTACAAAAGACCGTTCCTATTGCGACTTTGGAAAGTAAATAGGTTGCCTATTGAGCAAATGGTGAAGTAACGGATCCTCTTGGAAGCGCAGTCACGTAGGTCAGGCCGCGCTGTAAAAGAAGTTGGAAGTGACGAATGTTTAGTGTTAAATAAGTTGTTGAAGTGAAAGTGGTCTAGTGGCGACCTGCAGATTGTGGTCAAGGACTGGATCCGTAGGAGAGGAGGGGAGGGCCTTAACTGATTCCCAGAGTTTTCCAAGTTTTCAAAGCTATCTCGGCCATCATAATTATGTGCATTTTAATTCTACAAGCATGTACTAAAAAATAAATTATGATATTCAATGTTATCCCATCTTCAATTCTCTATGGTCCTTTGAAAACTCGTTTATTATCTTTTTCACTCATAGGATTTGAACGGCTAAAGCATATGGTCATCAACGCACATATATATCCCATTATGGCGAAGCTATACGAAATGTTATGTGTTAGGTTTACCAGTATGTAACGATTTTTTGAACTGACAGCTAAACGGATTTTTAGGTTTTTTGATCCAAACTGTCAAAAATAAGGCACTGTGAGTATTTTGAAATAAAATTAGGGTCGAAAGACTGACAAATCAGCTCATAACCGTATACCAGCATTTACATAGGTATTTAGACATTTTATATTGACAGATTTAGCTTTATTTTTCTTAGTAGAAACTTACAGTTAATAAATATATATTTTTGTTTGCTTTATGCATGACCATATTAGCCATTTTTATTTTCTTATAAGTTTATATTTACACTCTTTTACCATTTTATATTACCATTTTCAAGAGAGGTCGAAAGAGTATATTAAAAAAAAGTTGGCGTAAGCAAAGTTTTTCTTATACTTGTATGACAAAAATTTTTCTTCAAAAACTTTAAGGTTCATCCACTCTTTTTTGAATAACCACAATTAAAGTATGAGTTAAACATTCTTTGGTTGATTGTTCTAACCAACAAAATGAGTGATGAAACATACGGGTGTTCGATCCATTTGAAATCACCCAGACCATATTGCTCAGCATTTTTGATTTTTATAATATTTTTACGAGTTATTTCATATTCATTTGAGAATTCCAAACCATCATTACAATTTTTTAAAGCTCACAGTTTTTTCTCGGCTGGCGCATTTACTTTGTTTTCAACTGAAAACATGTTTTGGGAAACAGTTTACAATTCCGGTAATTTAGTAGATATCGAATCAAAATAAAAATTGGAATAATGCTGAGTATTTTTTCTACATATTTACCAAGATATCATCTAAAAATAAACGAAAACGATTTTAAAAAATCATGAAAGTTGTCAAAAATGAGACTTTCAGCGCTTTATAAGAGTGATAATGAAATCTATTCAATCTCTGACTCACCTTTGATCTTTTTTTCTATATTCATACCTATTTTCTATATTTATTGCTACAAGTTGATAGAATTTCAATCTTGTAAACTTTGTTGTTTTAGATATGAATTTTCAAAAACGGCCAAAAGGCTTTTTTGGTGATTTTTTATGTTGAATATCATTTAAGGGATTGAGGAAAAATTATGAAATAGATACATTTATATATCTTTATGATAAAAATGTATGATATGAGTTTGACCACTGAGACTCAACTGGTTCTACTAGTTATAACGCAACAACTATCGCTGCCCAACAAATTTATAGTGTGAGTCCCAATCAGCATACCCTACCTACTCTAACTGAGGCATTTTTGCAGATATCAAAACAAAACAAAAACTAAAATTATGATGGTATTTTGCTTTAATTTTTTGGTCTTCATAATAAATCCTCTAATTAGTGAGAAAAATTATTTAAAGACTAAGAACTATAAAATAAAAATTAGCATAAATCATAATGTAATAATAAAAACTTGCTCAAGTTTAATTGTTTCGCATATATAGCCCTATAACTGTACTACTTGCTGATGAACTTTCCATTTTGAAAATCTTTCCTTTTTTTTTTAGATATGAATTTTCAAAAACAATCATAAATCATTTTTGGCGAGTTTTGATTTTGAATACCATAAAAGTCTCTGAG